ACCTAAAGTTAAAGCTGGGATTTACAACCCCAGCCGAGGAATTTAATCCGCGTTAGTATTCGTGTACGTGCGACGTCGCATTTTTCGGTACCTCGAGCCGGATCTACTACGCCACATTTGTTGGTCCTTCGAGCCGGATCTGTGACGGTACAGAAATATTTGAAGAACAATTAATGCGACATGCCAGCACTATTGCATGTGAAAATTATATTTTTCAACATGACAATGCCTCTGTGCATACAGCAAAACGTGTTAAAAAATATTTTGAAAACCGTAATGTACAAATTTACTCCAGATTTAAATATAATAAGTAACATCTGGGGAATTTTAAGACGAGCTATATATGGAAATGGGAAACAGTTTTTGTCGGTGGAAAAGTTGAAAGCTCATATTGAAGAACAGTAGGCCAAATTAAGTGAAGATCAAACACAAAATTTATCTAAATCGATACCACGGCGATTAATTGAAGATATGAAAAATAAAGGTGGCACAATTACTAATAAATAGAAAAAATTTGTTTTCATCAACTTCTATCTACTTTTCTAACCAAAAATATACATTGTCCTATAGCTTTGTCACGCCTTATTTTATTAAAAATTAGAAATTTCAATGAAACTTTTCTCAATCCAATTCAATAACTTTGCGCTATAGAAATGTATGTAATTTAGTTGATTCTTTGGATTAATAAAGAAAACTTTTACGAAAAAATTAGTATTAATAAAATATTAAATAAAATTGCAGATGTCTTCTGGTTTTGTCGCGGATTGTATTCGATGATGAAGAAACTTATAATGAAAACAGCACAGAGATCATGGAAATATCAGATTCAGAACGTGCAAACAACATTATAAATAACAATATGACGTTATTGAATAGGAATAGAAAAAGACGCGGAATAATAAGTACGTGTTCAGAAGATTCGATTGATGAAAATATGAATAACTTTGGAAATACGCCTATAAGTCTTTCATGGTGAAAAAATAATTTAAAACTTATAGTACATCATTTTAATAAAACTGACGCTGGGATAAACGCGAATATAAATTCAAACTCTACTCGTTTTGATGTCTTTTCATTACTCCTTTCAAAAGAGTTAATTTCGCACATAATGTAAAAGACAAATAATTATGCGAAATATGCTATTGCAATGAAGCAATCTGAACGCAATTCACCGTCTCCAAACATTTGCAAAAACATATCGTTATCTGGAATGTATATATCTTTTTTTGTGGCTATGTTTATGACGCAAAAGAGAAACCTTCAGGTGAAACAATATTGGTCAACGGATAAAATATTATCTTTAAACAATCTTTCTAAAGTCATGTCAAGAGACAGATATTTAGAAATATTTAATAACATTTATTTTAATGATATTAATGCACAAGACCCGGATGATCCGTTAATAAAATTACGACCTGTAATCAACATAATGAAAGCAAATTTCCCTGGCTTCTTTTATCCGTTCATGAATCTTTGTATTGACGAAAGTCTGTTGTTATACAAAGGAAGATGTTACTTCAAACAATACATTCTTTCTAAAAGGAGCTGATTTGGAGTAAAATTGTTTATCATGTAGATTTTATCATCTACACTGAAAAAGATACAGATATTAAGACAAATAATTTGGTGCTTCGTAAATCTGGAAATATAGTTACAACACTTCTGCGACCATATCTGGGGAAAGGCCATACTTTAATTGCTGACAACTGGTACACAAGCCCACATTTGTATACATTACTCCGTAAATATAAAACTAATGCATACGGAACTGTGAACAAGAACAGAGTTGGAATGGTGCAGATGAAAAAAAATCAAGCCTGAGGAATTCGAATATGAATCTACAAATAATTTATTGACAATGCGATGGTTCGATAAAAAAGAGGTGTGCATGTTGTGGACAGTCTACAGTGCTGAAATTACTGAAAGTCGACGGATAGATTATCGCACGGGATTACCTAAAAAAACCAAGTGAATTATTGATTATAATTATAATATGTGAGCTGTCGATAAAGTAGATATGACTTTAAGTTCATTGCATTGTCTAAGAAAATCGGTAAGGTGGCACAAAAAATATTTTTTTCATCTATTAGACCTTTAAATATATAACGCTCACGTTATTATTTATAAACAAATTACTGGTAAAAAATAAAAGTTTAGCAAATTTCATCTTTTGTGTGCAAAAGAAATCTTATAAAAATACCTCCAAGATACGATAAATCAGACAGTTATAACTAAAGATACCGACAATTTTCCTTTTCGGCTCTATCAGAGAGGAAAAGAAAGAAAGAGGCTCTATAAGAAGAGGAAAGATACGCGATATAAATGCAAGGAATGTAATGTACAGTGGCGGTCTTATACTTACATACAGTTCCTATTTAAACTTTTAATGTTTATTTACTTCCTTAACCCTTTTAGTGCCAGGCATTTTACAAAGTACATGCGAAAAATGCCACGGGCCGATTTGATATGCGCGCTTATATAAATAACTTTATTGTTCGGGCCGATTTGTACGGGGTTTATGGCAGGTATTAGAAGCACAGCTATTTTTGAGAATTCGTAAATTTAGTTTCTCTTTTGCCATCTGGACGACACTCGCCGGATGGTACGCTCTTTACAATTTTTACTCTTTGTCGTAGCATTTGTCGATACCTTTAGTTTCTTGCACGCATTTTTCGTTGGTCTCAATAGTTATTGCCCTGCTGTAAACCTTCACGGCCTGAGCATGTCAGCAAGAACCATGGGTCGCCCAACGGTTTCCGCGGCCGATGCAGGGTCAGGAAACCGTCTCTGGTGTTGACCAGATGCGTCGTCCACCATCGCCGAATTCTCGAGTCTCTCGCCCCTTGGAAAATCTCACGACCCCTTCCTCAAGGAAACACGCCGAGGGCGTAAAGGAAGGGGTGTCTTCTAACCTAGGTTCGCTGATTGGACTTTTCCAAAAATTGGAAGAACCAATCAGTGGACAATTGCAAATTCCAAGGGGGCAGCTGAGAAACACTCGCGAGTTCAAAATTCATTCGTATAGTAACCACCGACGAGAAGAGTCATACTTAGAAAACTTGTAACCCGGCTAAGTTGTACAAATACAGTCCACTATTTTCGCTAAGTCGCGAGTTCTAAATCATTCACGGGATAGACCGCGACCCCCAACATTTATAAGGAATAAAATTCCAATTTCCTGGAGAAAAATTTTACTATTTATTCTTTTGAAACTTAAAGAATATGGAATATAATGTTGTGCAGCAAAATTTTTACTTATAAAATATGTTTAATTATAAAATTGTTGTGTACTTGTGTGTATATAGATTATTTAAACTTTGAACTTAACACATTGAACGCCAGCCCCCTGTGAAAACGCGGGATTCGGAGTCTATCGTCTGAACGCTGGCCCCGTGAAAACGCGAGATTAGGAATCTATCGCTTGAGCGCCGATCCCACGATCATGTGGAATTTTTTTTGCTGGTATGGGTGCCTTACACATCGATTTGCATTCACTTGTATGGTTAGGTCGATCTTCATTTGTTATACTCTAAAAATAAAATGTATACGATGGTTCAGAAACAATCCAAGCGAGAATCACTCTCGAGTTAAACTTGGTTACTCACTGTTGGTTAAACAGTATAACAAGTCTTATTATTCTGTACCTTTTTACCCATATAATATGCGTGAAATTATTAATGAGTATATTGCTGACGCATTGGGTGCGTTTTCACGACACGTATTTGACGATGGTCCACAATAATGAGTTGCTCAACGATATTCAGCGATTTCACTACTTAACTTCGACTTTAAAGGGTTCCGCTGCGCGTATAATAGAATCGTTGGGTGTCTCGGAAGCGAATTATGGGGTTGCATGGGAGGCTTTGAAAAGACGATTCGAAGATCCTGACACTCTGGTCCACCATCACGTAAATGCACTGTTAGAAATCCCAAGTATGCATAAACAAAGTACCCATGCGCTTAGGGAATTCATTGACCATGCGAATAATCAAATCGTGGCATTATGCGCGTTAGGTGAACCGGTTAACGCGTAGGACACCATAGTCGTTACTTTACTATCGAAAAGCTGGATTCAATAACATAGAATGACTAGGATACGCATGCCGCAAACCTACCACATAGGCCGAAATTTAACGACTTCGTAAAATTCATTGAAAAGCAAGCGAAACGCCTCGACCGAGCAACTTCGAACCACCAGTCAGCCGCGCAGGTATCCGCAAATCAGACCCATCAGGGTCGCGCGTCCAAAGTCCATGTCAAGACAAGTGCCGTAACGGCTCACGTCTCAAGTACGCGTAATCAATGCGTGCTATGCGAGGGTGAGCATCTATTACAACACTGCGGTCAGTTAAAGGCAATGCCAACCCCTAAGCGTCATGAAACAGTTAAACGCCTTCAATCGTGCTTTAATTGTTTGCAACAGGGGCACAGTGTCAAGGGTTGTACTCGGGGAACATGCAGACAGTGTGGAAAAGGGCATTACACTCTTCTGCACCGCGACGACGCGAAACAGGAGACGGTCTCCTTAGAAGCTCTGGTCGAAACAACCACTTCGTGTGTGTCTAATTCGGTTAGCGTCGCGACAGAATACACCGTACTGTCCACGGCAATCGTGTTTATCAAGGATAGGCAGGGTCGGAAACATGAATGTAGGGCTTTGCTAGATGTAGGTTCGCAAGCGAACTTCATAACTGAGGACTTACACAATAGATTGGATCTCCCATATTCTCACATCGATGCAGCGGTGGGTGGTCTCGGTAGGGCACGCAATTCGATTCGGTCGCGGACAAACATCCATCTCAGCTCAAGGTGTAATACGTTCACGCAGATTTGTCATGTCTGGTAATAAAAACCATTACCGATGACACGCGAAATTTTCCGCTAAGTAGCGTAAAGGTTTCAAGACCAACGGGCATTACACTTGCTGATCCGCACTTCGATCAACCCTCGCGAATCGACTTGTTAATAGGAACTGGCATTTTCTGGAAATTGCTGTGCATAGGACAGCACAAGATAGATTCAAGCGACTTGGTGTGGCAAAAAACGCGGTTAGGATGGGTTCTGGGCGGTCGGGTAGGCTGGCTACCTGGTGCGAACGGAAAGGAAACCTCTACCTGCCACGTGGCGACTAACGAACAATTGGACAGAGCGATTTCTCAATTTTGGAAAATTGAAGACAGCTACCCTACATCAATGCGGACCACGAACGCGGCGGACGACCCTAGCGAACGGCATTTCAAAGCCACGACGACACGTGACGATGACGGACGATACATCGTAAAAATTCCATTCACCAGCAAACTAAGCGATCTCGGCGAGTCGCGCACTCAGGCCGAAAATCGTCTATTAGGCATGGAGCGTAGACTCGCCAAAGACCCGGAACTACACAGACAGTATTGCGCATTTATGACGGATTACGAAACATTAGGACATATGACACGGATCACAAACAAGAGAGTCATTGATGAACGTCCTAACTACTATTTGCCACATCACGCCGTGATCAAAGAATCCAGCTTCACCACAAAACTTCGAGTCGTCTTCGATGGTTCCGCGAAAAGCTCGTCGGGTATATCGTTGAACGACACATAGCTTGCTGGACCGACCGTGCAAAGCGATCTTTTATCTATATTGATCCGCTTTCGAAAACACCGCATAGTACTTTCCGCGGATATTGAAAAAATGTATAGACAAGTGCAGGTCCATCCAGAACACCGTCAGTTCTAGCGAGTTTTGTGGCGTTCGAGTAGAGATGCACCCATCGGTACGTACGAGCTAAATACGGTAACCTATGGAACCGCGTCGGCTTCGTACTTGGCCACGCGCGTATTACGTCAAGTCGGACTTGGCCACGCACTCACGCATCCGTCTGCTAGCGGCGCAATCGTTGATGACTTCTATGTCGATGATCTACTCACTGGCTGTGAAACTGACTCTGAAGCGAAGCAGTTGCGTCGCGATTTAAGAGAAATATTAGAACGGGCGGGGCTTTCGCTACGAAAATGGGCGAGTAATAATAGTAACGTCTTAAACTCACCACGGCAAGACAATGGGATAGTGGAGATCAAGGTTCCCGATAAAGAACCAAAAACACTGGGGCTGTTATGGATGTCACAAACCGATGAGCTCAGCTATTCGGTTAGAAGTCATCAACGGAAGCGCATCACAAAACGCGGTGTGCTGTCGGAAATTGCGCAAATCTTCGATTCCCTTGGGTTAATAGGGCCAATAGTTACGAGGGCTAAACTATTCATGTAGCTTCTCTGGCAGTCAAGGGTGAATTGGGATGAGACTCTTCCTCAGGACATGCACACGCAATGGGCCGCATTTCGCGAAGAAATGACAGACATTTCATCGATAGTTGTACCTCGCCGAGTAATTGCTAACGACGCGATTCAGATCGAGCTTCATGTCTTTTCGGATGCCTCTGAAAGAGCCTACGGGGGGTGTATCTACCTGCGTACGGTGGACACCGCCGATAACGTAACAGTCCGCCTACTCTGCTCAAAATCACGGGTGGCACCACTAAGGGCGGTAACCCTATCCTGTTTGGAACTGTGCGGTGCTCTACTGGCCGCCCAATTGACGGCGAAGGTTAAAGTCGCGTTTCGAATTCAATTTTCCGGCGAATGTTATTGGTCGGACTCCATGATAGTTCTCGTGTGGCTTAAGGGTCCTTCCAATAGGTGGAAAACCTTTGTGGCGAACCGCGTCTCCCAGATTCAGCAAATAAGAAATTCTGGACATTGGAATCACGTACTGTCACCTGACAATCCCACTGATATAATATCGCGCGGTGCCAGTCCTAGCGCACTGACCGAGTGCCGTCTATGGTGGTTCGGACCCGCTTGGCTTGCACAGGGGGATAATCATTGGCCGTCGGTAGTGGCCTGTCCCCAGGAGATTCCCAAGGCACGGCAAGCCAGCACTTGCCTAACAGTTGCGCATCAAGGCAATCCACCCTCTGATCTCTTCTCGCGCTACTCCTCCTACTCAAAGTTGCGTAGAATCACGGCCTACTGTTTAAAGTTCACCAAAGCAGTCGCAAACAAGCTTCGGAAACCACCGTCGCAGCCCTCGAACACGCAAAGAAGTCCGGTCAGCTCGCAATATCTAACCACGCGTGAACTGCACGATGCTGAAAGGGTTCTAATAAAGTTCGCCCAAAGAGAGCAGTTCGGCCTAGAATTCACCTTGCTTAGTGCACAAAAATCGCTAACACCTAAAAGCCCATTGCTATCGTTGAGCCCGTTCTTGGATGAAAACGGACTAATCAGGGTGGACGGTCGTCTTAAAAATGCGCCCATCCCTTACGATCAGAGACACTCATAATCACATACGAACACAATAGACTGCTCCACTCTGGACATCAATTAACGCTAGCCGCAATACGCACCCGATTCTGGCCCGTAACGGAAAAACGCGTAGTCAAACAAGTGCTACACAAATGTATTAGATGCTTCAGAGCCAACCCAAAGGGCACTAATTACCTTATGGGTAATCTGCCTGCAGCTCGTGTAACACCTGCTCGAGCCTTCTTCACCTGTGGTGTCGATTACGCGGGGCCATTCATGCTCAAGGAAAGAGGTCGCGCGCGAACCACGTACAAGTCCTACCTATGCATTTTCGTTTGCTTTGCCACGAAAGCCGTCCATATTGAACTAGCCACAGATCTAGATACCGATGCATTCCTCAATTGCCTGTATCGATTCATGTCGCGTAGGGGTAGGAGCCACTGTATTTATTCTGACAATGGCACGAATTTTGTAGGAGCGCGTACCGAGCTCAATCAATTAGGCGCGTTATTTATTAATAAGGAACATAACTATCGTATCCAAAGAGCGTTGGCACAAGAACAAATACAGTGGCACCTTATTCCCCCGTACTCCCCGCACTTTGGTGGGCTCTGGGAAAGTGCGGTCAAATCCGCGAAGCAGCGAGTCATAGGGGAACAACACTTAACGTGTGAAGAGTTGTATACGTTCTGGACGCAGGTAGAAGCTTGCCTCAACTCCCGTCCGCTTTACCCACTATCCTGTGACCCCAATGACCTCACCCCTCTAACCCCAGGGCATTTCCTTATTGGCGACGCGCTAACGGCACCCCCGCAGGCCGATCTGCTTCACTTGAATCAGAATCGACTAAATCACTACCAGTTAATCCAGTACAAAGCGGAACACTTCTGGAAACGGTGGCACCGAGAATATCTCTATGAGTTGCAGCAACGGCACAAATGGCAGTTGGACTCACCAGGCAACGTCAAGGCCGATGCACTGGTCATCATCCGAGAGGACAACACCCCTCCGCTGAAATGGCGACTCGGAAGAATCGCAGATCTTCACCCAGACTCCGACAATACTTCTCGGGTGGTGTCGATCAAGGTGGTGGACGGCATCATAAAGAGACCCGTCTCAAGAGTTTGCGTTCTACCCATAGAGGAAGTGCAAACATAACAGACCACGTGTATCTTTAATATTAAGGTAATTGCGTAATAAGAACCATATTGTATGATAGCCTTAAGGATCTGTATATAGATAGCATGATAGTTTCTAGTATTAAGAGTTCATATATTGGAAACATTCGTTTTGAACGTGTGCCGTTCAAGGTGGGCGGGATGTTTGGTCTTCATTGTCACGGTTTATGACACGATCGCCCAGGAAGGCTGTTTTTGAGTTAGGATTTTGTTAATTACTTGCAGCTGTCGTTCCCAGTTCTTAGCGAAGGCATTTAAATAATTTAGTTAATTTTAACGATGCCTTTCGCCCTCGACAGCTCGCGGACATGTCATAAACCAGCAATTTCCGAAGAGTACACATCTGTTTGTAACGGTACAAGGACCAAAAGGACAACGTAGAGGAAACTCCCCCGTGTTGCCAAACATTTCGTCCTGCACGGACACTGTCTCCCACCCTTTCAGAACAGAGCGCGCTAAGGGCGTACAGGAGGGCGTGGGTAACATTTTTTAGGCACGCTGATTGGTCCCTAGAATTTGGCAATTTTCCCCCGATCAGCGTGCATCTATCGGTGCGTCCGGAGAATTACAAGAAAAACCGGGACCGAGTGAGTCTACGAAAGGAAACGATAGAGAACAGAAGTCAATTCACTAGCAGTCCGGGTCCGTTCAGTGGTCCTTCGAGAAGGTATTAACGTCGGCACACCACGTGTAAAATTCAATAAAGCTCGACAGTGGACGACTACCACGAGCATATTAACAGGGTCCAAGGAGAAGATCAAGAGCAGTTCCATTACAGTATTCAAGTGATTCCGATGATTCCAGTGATTGTGAAATGTCTACAGAATCGCATAGTTACAGTGAAATATGGTCAGATGTCGATAAAATTCCTAACATACCAGATTTTACTGCTGAACCCGATCTAAACATTTTTTCTACTGATAAGAAAAGCGTAAAAGAAGTCGTCGAATTGTTTATTGGTAATGATTTGTTTCAATTAATGGTAAATGAATCCAACATCTATTTATAGCAAAATAAGGACAAGATGAGTAAGGGGAAGAAAATGTCAAAGTGGAATGATATTACTCTAGCTGAGATGACAAAATTTCTAGGCATGATTATAATGATGGGCCAGGTAAAGAAAGATGATTACAGGTCCTCAGAGTTTTATACGAAAACACCATCGTTCTCCACTATAAAGGCACGTAATAGGTTTCGCCAGATTTGGAACACGTGGCATTTTTCGAACAATCAAACAATACTCGGTTCTAATAAGCTGGAGAAGATTCATCCCATACTGAGCTATTTATTACATAAATCTAAATCGGTATACACGCCTAGGAAAGAACTTTCGCTTGATGAATCCATTATTCCATAGCGTGGAATATTATCTATAAAAACATACAATCCGGCTGTTAAGGCCACTTATAGTCTAACCGTTTCGTTTGAGCCCTTAAACCATCGTAGTTTTAGTTTTGTATGCACTTTTTATCTTTTCTATGTTTTGTTCCCGATCTTATCGGGTGGTCCTTCGAACATACAAGTTTATTAGTCGGCACACCACGTGTAAACGCCTACAAAGCTCGACCACCATTACGGTAACCACGAGTACCTAACACCGGCAAAAATAATAAAGAACGGCCTACTTTGCCGTATGCTATGCGAAGCTAGAAATGGATATATTTGCAACATGGAAATATACTGTGCGGAAGGTAAAAAATTAGACCAGACAATAATGTTATTACTTGATAAAAATATATCTTTAGGATACCACTTATACATGGATAACTATTATAATAGTATCAATACCGCAGAATTGCTTATAAAAAATGGTACACAAGTTTGCGGTACACTCCGAGCAACTGGAGGTGTTTTCCCGAGTTTTTACAGCATCTCAGATTGAAAACTGGAGAATATACATGTAAAAGAAAGGGTGAAGTTTTAGTACAGGCGTGGAAACCGAAACATAAGATCGTGTACATGGTTTCCACGATACATTCAGGAGAATTAACGAACACCAAAAAAATATACTGGAAAACGGAACAAGAAATTATAAAACCGCATTCCGGCATGGAGTATAATAAATATATGATGGATGTAGATTTGGCAGATCGGTATTTGTCATATTATCCCATCATGAGAAAAACGGAGAAATGGACAAAGAAGACAGTCTTATTTCTTTTAAATTGCGCAATGTTTAATGCATTTCAGTTATATATTAGGTTGAACGACAACATTATAAAATATAAAAAATGTTTACATGTTATTGGACGTTCTTGGATCGAGGAATTCGCAAATACTCAAGATGTATCAAATGATACTTCTAATACTTCTGTACTTGTTCCTACACCTTATACATCAAGATATGATCACCCTCAGAGACTTTCGGGTGATATGAAGTGTGGAGGGTTCGGTGAAGTTAAACCGAAAACGATTGGTGAAGTACGGTCCTCAACACAGTTTGCCAAAGGTCGGTGTCGCGGAGGTTCGTGATGACGTCGGTCGCGGGTGAAGAAAAAGGGAGAGCTCCTAAACTCTCCCCGGAAAATATATATTCCTCTAAAGAAGGACAGAAAGATAGGAGAGTAGGAGAAAAACGAGGAAGAGAGAAACGGTTCAAAAGACAGAGAAGAAAAACGAGGAAGAGAGAAAAGATCCAAAAGACAGAGAAGAAGAAGAAGGATGATGGTGAACAGACAAGTAAACAAGAGTGTCGTAAGAACGGTGAAAGTTTCCGGACCTGCAAGGGCCTGCCCCTCGAACTGGGCAGTTCCGTGCGAGACCTGGGAAACCTTCGGAAAATTCGAGGGCCCGCGCGGGTCTGGTCGCTAAATGTGCGATGACACGAAACAGACTCGCGCGGAAGGACAGCGTTAACGGTAAAAGAATAGCGAGGAAATCCAGTGGCGTAAGGCAGCTTTTCGGCCGCCACATTACCCCCCTGCCAGTAATTGACTTAATTACGAAAACAAAAAAAAAGGAATATGGAACGCACGCAGTGTGGTACTCATTGCTAAATGCGATTAGCCATGGTTAGGGTGTTATCGCGATCGCTGGTACACTACAATTAAACATAATTTGCTCTAGGTACCCGTTTCGCACTACGCCCGGTACAATATGGCGTTCGTAGAGCGTCACTCGCTTGTGACTTATCGGAGGCCCGCCTGGAAACGTTCC